TATTATTATTTATTATACTATTTATCAGTTGCTAATCTTAACTTCATTTAGCTACCCAATCTTGATTTCTCTTCATACTACAATCCGATCATAAAATCTACCGGGTATGGTACCTCGACGAAATTGGATGAAAAACCAATTGTACTGGAGATGAAGTCGGCGACTTTTGAGCATGAAAACGGCGTGAAAAATGGCGCTGATGAACATCTGCAACGCATCTTTCGTTTGGAAAACGTTAATTTAACTGTGAAAAAGGTATGGAAATAGCACCTGCCACACTAGAAACTGCTTTGGCTACATACTTTTTCAAATAAATTATTTCACAGGGTGATGTGATATGTCTAGAAGGTCCTGTCGGTGGAGGTAAAAGTGCATTTATTGATGCTATCGTGGCTAGCGTTAACTGCACATCCGGCAGCGTTTGTGTGCATGAGCTAACTTCAGGTATTTTATAACATCGACCGAACTTTCGCACAATTTATTTACATTTTTGGTATACAGGTTTCGGTTATGTGCCCCAAACGCCTTGGCTGCAACGCGGCACTATACGCGATAAAATTATTTGGGGTAATGTATTCGATGAGCAATGGTACAAAGCAATTTTGTACGCTTGTGCGTTGAATGAAGACTTGGAATTATTGGGCGGTGATTTAATTGGCATAGGCGAAAACGGACGTACGCTATCTGGGGGACAAAGAGCGCGTGTAGCTTTGGCACGAGCGGTCTATCAGAATAAGAAAAGTGTGTATAATTAAGTATAGTTGAATCCACTTAATTTAAAGGGATCTTGAGCAAATATTTGATACTTTTAATATGTATTAAAATTAAGTTTATATACTCTCGTTTGTATTCCATGCAGTTTATTTGCTGGATGACATACTGGCTTCATTGGATGCGCACGTAGCACGTCACATTATCAGAATACTGTATACTTGGTCTGTTGAAGGAGAAGACACGCATTGTGGTGACACGCAATGTATCGTTATTCTATCACGCACATCAGGTGAAATTTAAATCTGTTTTCCAGAGCGTTTTGTATGAATATACTGGAAATTTCCACAAATTTAGATACTCCATATCGAGGATGGCAAGGTGACACAAAGCCAATATATGTCCGAAAGTGTTGATATCCATTTGGATTTAGATGAAGAAACCATTGATGATATATACGACTACACTCGCAGATCTTCCATCGATTTGGATGAACAAAACTCACCTGATAAAAAGAGCGTTGACAGTATTATGCTGGAGGTAATGTTTTGGTCTTCATACTTCACACACTATTAAAAAATATTTATCTACATACTACAGGAGTCACGGGAGTATGGAAAGATCTCATTGAATGTACTCTCCTGCTACTGGCGAGCCATTG